GGTGTCGGGGGGGGGTAGAGGAACTGAGGGGGGCGTGGAGGAGAGGCCGTCACCAAGAGCAGAGAGGAGGGAGGAGCTGGGCAGCAGGCCCTGGCCTGGGAGATCCGATGCAGTTCCGTGGGGGCGGGGGGCCGGGGGCAGGCTCCATGTGGAGCCCTGCGTGTCCTGTGCTCTGCTCCAGGATTATTACTACCTGTCGGTGAAGGCCCTGTACACAGTTGGCTACAGCACGTCCCTCGTCACCCTCACCACTGCTATGGTCATCCTGTGTCGTTTCCGGTGAGACCCTGGGCAGCATTCGAGCGAGTGCAGCCCACCCCAGCTCAGAGCCCTTGCTCCATCCCTCCCACCTCCCACTCCTTCCCTGGATGTCAGCTCTGGAAGTCCCTTGGAAGGCATTTCCCCCACCCCTAGGATAAGAGATGGGAAACTTGATCCCAGAGAGGGCAACTGACTTGTCCAGGGCCACACAGCAAGGAAGACCCTGGGCAGGAGACCTACGTTCCTCACTTCATCTTCCTGGTCTAGATAAAGAGAGGTCGCAGGAGGGAGTAGGTCACGGGGCAGTGGGGCCAGGTGGCAGGGGCCTGGGAGTGAGCGAAGGTTTAGAGTGTAGGTGGGAAGAAGGGGGTGGTCTAGGTGGAGGGCCCCCTTGAGACAAAGCCGTGGAGTCGGCCCAAAGCAGACCCCGAGGTGGAGGGTGGAAGGCTGTGGAGTTCCTTACTTCAAAGCCTTTTGCTTCCCTGGCCGCTGGTGTAGGAAGCTGCACTGCACCCGTAACTTCATCCACGTGAACCTCTTTGCGTCGTTCGTGCTGAGGGCCATCTCCGTCTTCATCAAAGACTGGGTCCTGTACGCTGAGCGGGACGGCAACCACTGCTTCATCTCCACCGTGAGTGCGCGGAGCCCTGCCAGGACTGGCCCTCCCTGCGACGCCCTGCCGTCCAGGTGTTTTCCTGCAGGTTAAGGCGTCGACCCCAGTGAACACGGAGACCCAGGAATGACCATGCGGTTACTAGCAGCCAGCGAGACCCCAGCATGACTTCACTTCGTGTCCCTTGGCCTCCGTGTGACCTTGGCAGAGCAGTTGAGGAGGGTCGGGTGGAAATGTCAAGTCCCGCTTGACTAGGCTCAGAGAGAGGGCTGGCTTGGCCGCGGGTCGTTTAACCCAAGATGGAGCTAAGGGGCTGATTGGCTGGGGTTCCCTCCAGACCACCTCCCCAGTTCTGATACATTTGGAGATAAGCAGAAAAGATAGGCTTTGTCGGGGCAGGATGGAAAGAACAGCCCAGAGCACAAGACCTTGACCTGAAGGGGCTCACTTGGAGGGGGATCTATGAGATTTCTGCGGGGGGGGGGGGGGGGGGCCGGGGGGGTCACCC